CGGGGTGTAGTCTAGGGAGTGCGATGCCCCAGGAGCTCTGGGGCTCACACAGCGCAGGCGCAGAGGGTGGGTGGCAGCAGCATCAAGTAGCGGCGTTTTGGCAGCAGCATCCTGCAACAGGTGTAGACAGGTGGGTGCATCAGGGGGAGGCCGGAGAGGGAGTGTGCACCTGGCCCTCTTGTCTTACCTGTGTCAGGGCTTGGAAATGGGAGGGAGCGGCAGGAGACGCGGGGACAGGGCTGGGCCTTCCAGCCCAGGTGTGCCAGCCCTTGCTACGCAGCAAGTGGGGGAGGGGCAGAGGCACCTGCTGGCTGGTAAGTCGCCCTCAGGAACAGAGTGCGCCTCGATTCCAATCCAAGCTCCGTCACATACGTGGACAAGTCGATGTAGCTATCGCTCAATTTGTGTATCTGTAAAATAGGAGTAAATTTCCTACTCATCTAACAGTGAGAGTGGGGACAAGGTAAGGTAATCTAGTATGTGAAGTGGTTCCCAAAGTTTGCTGCACATTGAATCAGCTGGGGATCTTTAAAGACTATCAAGGCTTGCTTCCCACCCCCCGATATTCTGGCTTAGTTTTTAATAGACCTGGGTATCTGGAGTTTTAAAAGCTCCTACTGGTATCATGGTTAGAAGCTAGGACTGCTGGTTGTGAATCCTGGCTCCAGTGCTTACAGATCAAGGGGATCTGCACAAGTGACTGGTCCTCTCCAAGCCCCAGTGTCCTGGGAGTGACAAGGATTGTTGTGAGGCTTTGATGAGATAATAGACAAAAGCACTGAGTAGTGTGCCCGGCAAAGTGCTCAGTCATCTGCTGTTGAAACATTATTTTATGCACTTTATAAATGGCTCCGGTGGGGTTCAAATGTGAGGGAGGCTTTTCTTATCATGAAGGTCCCTCATTTATCGCTGTGATTCTAATATTCTGTGCTGCCAGCATTTCAGAATTCCAGGGATTCTAACATTTTATGAGTTACTCACTCCAGCCTCTACCTGCCTCACAGACACACTTCTACAGATCTAGAAAGAGAGGCCAGGAACAAGGGACCTGGCCAAGGTTATGGAACTGAGATTGGAATCCAGGCTCCTGACCCCACCCCCACCCCAGCACAGTGGCGGCTGCCCTGCTGACCCCACAGGACAGAGCTGCCATTATCTGCCTGGAGTAGAGAATGGGGAGGAGAAAGGCAGGCCTGCCTTGTTTACTTACACTCCCTTAAACATTTCCTCGGTGACTCCCCCAGGGAGGACAGGGCTTGGGGCTTCTCTCCCCAGAGCTGCTCTGGAACTGCTGATGAGGCCTGTGTGTCCTGTCGCCCCTCTGACAGGTCCCGCCTGACTCCATCCTGGGAAGTCCTTTTGAAGAAATGGCCCTGGTGAGGGGCGGCTGGCTGTGGAGACAGAGTAAGTGAACCTGGGCCGAGCCCCTGTCTGTCCTGCACCTTGTCCAGGGGAAGGGGTGAGGAAAGTGGCTTGTTGGGCCTGCCACAGTGAACCCTTCTCTGAAGAAACCAGGCCCTTTTAAAAAAAAAAAAAAGAAAAAGTTTTTTATTGATTTTAGAGGGAAAAGAAAGGAGAGGTAGAGAGAGGGAGAAACATTGATGTGAGAAACATCAACTGGTTGCCTCCTGTACACACCCCAACCCTGGATGAAACCTGCAACCTGGGTATGTGCCCGGACTGGGAATTGAACTGGTGACCCTTCAGTGCATGGGCTGATGCTCAACCAGCTGAGCCACAGCAGCCAGGTCAAGCCAGGCCTTTTTTATGCTCCCCCCTTTGTCCACACTTTTCCCTGTGCCTGGAATGCCCTTCCTACTCCTGACTGCTTGGTAAACTTCTATTTATTCTTCAAGACCCAGTTCAAACATCCCCTTCTGTGAGGAGCCTTCTCTGACTTTTCCTCTACCCAAGCCCCTGATGTAACACCAAACTGATTTAGAGGCTCACTCCTCTGATCCCCAGTGCCTCTTCCATACTCTTGTTATAGCATCGATCTCCTTATAACTGTGGGTCTCACCACCCCCCAACCCATGCAGGCTTCAGACTGTGAGCTCTTCAAGAGCAGGGACTGGGTTTGATCCTCTGTGTGTCCACACCACTCCAAGTCCAGGGCTGCCCACATAACAGGGCTCAGAACAAAATGAAAAATGCCTCTGTGCTTTGGAATCCATATGGCTCTAAGAAGCTCTCGTATGTCTTTGCCCTTTCTGTTAAGATTTCCAATCGCAAAATGTCTGAAGCTAGAGCTCAGCTTCTGGACCCATACTCTGACCAGAGTCATGATCTTAACAAGAGCTCTCCTGGGCTAGGAGCCCTCTACTCCCCTCCATGACCTATTCTCAATTCATTCAGTTCAGCAAACACTGAGCCAAGGTCCAGCTGTGGACCCCCTCCCAGGTTTTTGGAAGAGGCAGACACTACGTGAATGACTGTCACACAAGTCAGAGATAAGAGCTAAGATGGAGGCTCATGGCAGGTAGAGGTCTTTGCCCTTGAAGTGACCTGGTGCTAGGCCTTGGAAGCCCTCAAGGGAGGAATCAGGCCATTCATTTGCCATTCAAAACATTTACAGAGCCCCTACTCTGTGTTAGGCCTAAAAGGAGGCAGTGGGTGAGCAAGACAGAAAGAGGACCTGCTGTCATTTCAGGGGACAGACAAGGAAGGGTGGTTACAACTCTGGGGGACTGGGGAAGGGGACTCTGGGAGCCCAGCCAGGGTTCCCGCCCCTAGCAGGCTCTGCGATCAGCCTGCCTGGCGGGTCTGGAATATCGCACAGGCTCTATCCTTCGCCGCTGGAAACGGAACTGGTTCGCTCTGTGGCTGGATGGGACCCTGGGCTACTACCAGGACGAGACCGCGCAGGATGAGGAGGACCGTGTGCTTATCCGCTTCAATGTCCGCAACATAAAGATTGGCCAGGAGTGCCACGGTGAGAAGCCCTTTCCTCTCTGGCACTGTGACTATGGGTATGCCCCTCCCATCATGTCTGTCTGAGAACACCTGCATTGGAAGGCTCTTTGCAACTTTCAGAGGGCTTATAAAGACATCGCTTCTAGGCCTCTATCAGCTCCAATTCATGTGGGTATGAATTAGGAAATCAGGTCCTTACTGAGTTTCTACCTTGTGCTGGACCCTGGGCCCTATGCTGGGGGTCACAGAGGTGAATCCAATACAGTTCCTGAACTCTAGGTGGTAGGAACTGGATAAAGATGAAAGGAAATAAAAGAGCCTCAGAGAAGTTAAGTGACTGGCCCAGAGTCACACAGCAAATCTCAACAAGACTAAGGCCACAGTTATAAACAGTGTTACTGAGAGCTAAATGTACATAACTAGAGAAGCGGGCAATGTGGAAGGGTTGAAAGGCTCTAGGAAGTAGAGCAGAATCCCAAAGAAAGTGTGTGGGATCAGAGGAGGTTGGCAACGGCCAATAAACAGAACCCAGAGAAGCTGGTTCCTATTCTTGTTCCTGGTTTACTGGGGGGACCTGGGGCCTGTGCCCCATGGAAACTCCTTATCTGTGTGTCTGCCTTTAGATGTGCAGCCCCCAGAGGGCCGGAGCCGAGATGGCCTGCTGACTGTGAGTCTACGGGAGGGCTCCCGCCTGCACCTGTGTGCGGAAACTAAGGATGATGCCATGTGAGTTGCTCCCAAGAGAGGATGGGATGGGATCTTGGGGAATGTGATCAGATGCCTCCTCCTCATGGGCCTCCTGGTTCCCTGAGGTTAAGAAGAGGGGACAGACAGACCAGTCAGGTTGGTGGAGGCTGGAAGAGTGGATTTGGTGGCTCATGGTGATTAGTAAGATACTCAATAAACTCATCACATGGTCTATGATGAACTCAGGATTGTTGGGGGAGGAGTGTGCACACCTTCATCAAGTGTGTGGCCTCTGATCATTCGAAGTCAGATCTTTAGCAGCCTCTGAAGTGAGCCCTCACTTAGGGGTGATACGAAGGAACAGAGCCCTGTGGCATCCTCAAAGCACCCTCCTGAGAAGATGTCCTGGTGGGGGACTGATCTGAGGGGTAGGCACTGGCCTGCCTAACAGAGAGAGCCTGCCATATCATGGGGCACCCCAATGTCAGACCCAGGTCCATACTGTGAGACTGGGCGTATCTTCTTCAGGCGCTGGCTGCTCACTCACATTCTTTCCCTTCCTACCCTCTGGCAGAGGGTCAGTTGGCCTTTGCACTATAGGAGAGTGAATGAGATGGGGTGTGTGGGAGTGGGGGAAGCTGAGCTCTGGGTAGACAAGGCACAGAGCAGCCTTGTCCACCCCAGACAGGTGCCATGGCAACCAACAAAAGCCCAATTGTCCTGTGTCCACTGGGCCTTTCCAGGGCTCTGGGGTCAGAGTGTTGGGGAACTGTTTGTAGGTTTTGGATGTGGAGGGGAGCCTGTAGCTAGAAAACCGGCCCAGGCATGTCAGAATCTGAAGGTCCCTAAGAGACCCCCAGGCCCAGTTGTCTATTGGTCTACATGGGAAACTGGACCTTCTAAAGGGTAAAACTATGGACTAAGAATAAATTATGAGTTTCCAGCTCAACTGAGGGCTCTGTCCATGTGACTGGGGCAGGGGAGGGGGTCACCTTTGTATACACAAAATATCTCCCCCTTCAAAAGAGACTGGGGCTAGAGGCTGGGTAGGGGAGTTAAATCTAAAATGTAGGGGCCCATCCCCCTTCTCCCAAACTACCCCCTCATGGTCTGGTTGGGTTTGCTTTGCAGAGCGTGGAAGACGGCACTGCTGGAGATGAATTCCACCCCGGTGAGTCCCCACTCCCTCCTTCTCTCCTCCCCACCCCTACCTGCCATGGAATCATGGGTGACTCAGATTCGGTCTCCACCTGCTAGGAGTTCTCACTTCTCATATATGTGAGTGAAGAGACTTGTGCAGACTCAGGTGCCCTGAGTCCCAAGTAGAAAAGAACAGAAGACAGACCACTGGTGCTCAGAGGAGGGAGAGAGAGGCCTCCAAGGAGGGGGTGGCATGTGAGTTGGGGAAAAGGAACTGTTTTTTATCGAGCAACTATTATGTGCCAGGTGTGGTACAGGTGCAATTCCAGCTATTCCTTCCTCATAACAGTCCTGTGAAGTTAGGGTTATTGTGCCCTTTCTGCAAATGATAAGACTGAGCTTCATTCATGTACACAAGAAACACTTACTGACTTTCTACTATATGCCAGGCACTGTGCCAAGGGGTCAGGGATGAGAGGTAAACTCAGTAGATGTGAGCCCTGCCCTTATGAACTCAACCTAGTGGGAAACCAGATGTGAAGCAACTAATTGTACAGTTGTTTATTCTACTGCAGTGGTGGTAACTGCTCTGATGGAGACATACAGTGTACATTCAGTGTGTGACCATCTTGGTGGCCTGACAAGGCTTAAAATGAAACCTGAAGGATAAACAAATAGACTGGGTGAAAGCGGCGGGGTGGGGTGAATGGAACAGTTTTCCAGGAAGCGGGAACTGCATGTGCAAAGGCCCTGAGAGGGGTTAAGACTTTGGCAAGTTGAAGAACAAAAGGAAGTCTGGGGTGGCTGGAGCTCAGGGAGTGAGAGGGCAGTGGGGGAGGAGGGATGGCAGGGCCAGGCATTAGGGGCTGTGTTAAGAATGTCAGTTTCTCCTAAGAGCATCAGAAAGTCATTGGAAGTTTTTAAGCAGGGGCATGGCATGAACAAGTCAGGCGAGATTTGTATTTTTAAAAAGATAGTCTGGCTGGAAATGGATTGCAGAGGGTAAAAGTGGATGCTGGAGACTGGTTAAAAGGCTGGGACAGTGTCCAGGTGACCAGCTGGAGGCCTGGACTAAGGCCCTGCTGGCGGAGACAAGCTGACAGGATAAGACATGTTTAGGAGGTAGAGCCAATAGAGCTTAATAAGGTGTGGGTTTGAGGAGCTGTCCAAAGCCCCCAGCTCAAGGGTGGCCCAACTTGGCCTTGACCTCCATCTGCCTGTCTCCGGATTCTGTGCTTGCTCCTTCTATCTGTGGCACAGTGGAGTCTACTCATCTTGAGAGAAAGTCCACTGGGAAGTAGCAGGGGAAACTAGGGTGCATCTAGAAACCCCCTCAGACATCTACCTTCTGAGGGCCAGGCATGCTGCTGAGCACCGGACATCAGTTATATCATTTAATCTTCTAACAACTCTGGCAGGAGTTGATGTTTTTAGTCCCATTTTACAGATAGGGATGCTGAGGTTCAGAGGGGGAGTGATTTGTCCAAAATCTCATAGTTTTAAGTCAGTGAAAAGGCCTGTACTGGAATCTAGGTCAGTGTGAGGTTTTGAGGGAAATTGCATGAGCAGAGGCAGGAAGGTGACATGTGCATTTGTGTGTGTGTGCGCTTGTGTGTATCGGGGCCCGGAGTCTGGCCTGGTTGGAGGGTAAGGTGTGGAAGGAAAGAAATGGGAAAGATGACTTCTGAGGAGCTATGTCACAAAGGGCCTTGAAGTCTAGTTAAAGGAACTGAACTTTATCCCAGGGTTGTGGGGAACAGTAAAGGTCATTAAGCAGGATGGGCTGTGGTCACACTTTGGGGAGCAGACTCAGGCCTCTGGGTAGAGCTGGATTAGAGAAAGCTAGGAGTGATGAGGCCGGGGCAGTGGTCAGCAGGCTGGAGGGGCCCCCAGTTGGGCTAAACTAGCTCTGAGCTCCAAACCCCCCGATGCAGGGCGAATCAGTCGCACCCAGGAGGGGCGGGCGGAAGGAAGGGAGGTCGGACCGTTCTGCACTCTGTGACTCTATGAAGCTGCCCTGTCCCTTCTCTTCCTGTCTGCCTTCCTGCCGCTCTGCTTACCACACCTCTGCTTAGATCCTCTACTCCACCTCTCACTGTTCTACACACACACATCCCCCCGGTCCCAGGGCCTGCTCCGGAGGGGTGTGTTTGAGCCTCTGTGTCCCTGTACCAGTGTCTGCCTGTCTCTGTGTGTTCATACCTG